AAGAAAATTAAAATATATCAGCAGTAGGCGAAATATCCAGCCTTTGGTTTACGTCTGTGAGGAGAAAGTAAATGTGAAGTAACCTCAGGCAGGGAGCGGCTTTAAAGAAAAAGAAAAAACAGCGCGTCTTTCCGCACCTGAGAAAGCTTCTAAATGGTGACCGATAAATTTACTAAATGAAAATCATGCTGTAATTCAAAGCTAGAGACTGGAGACGCAATAAAAGGAAAGCAACAACAGGAAACTGTTCACTGAGCTCATAATCAGTGAGAGCCGGGGCTCATTTTTCATAAGACGTCAATACTATCAGGCTTCTTTTTTTGCCAGCATGGAGCCGGCCCCCTGTTTTGGCCATTCGATGACAAGGAATGCAGGTTTAAGACACATTGGCTTCACTTCAACAGAACCGCAGGAAGCTCTGTCGGGTGCTAGTTTGGACAGAATGTGGTTTTTATCATTATATACTTTAAATTGGTTCGGAATAAATTATAACTATAATTTATTGATCTTTATATTGTTATTCATTGTTGGACAATATGTTACTTCTTTTGACTATAGGCTGCTTCATGTACATTTAAAACACACGCTTGATAGTACTAGTATTTTTGCAGACAGTAATCGTCCGCACCGTCACTGGAACCAACAGGTCCGTGATAACGTGTCAGTCTGCCGGTTGACGGTCGCCCTTCGGTCACTCGATAGAAAAGCATTTCTATTTAAGAAAGCTGCGTGTTTGAAGCAGCATATGTGGAGGAAGGGTCACTGAGGACAGCCCGGCCGCTCGCTCGTGTTCAGAGCCGGTTTTTCTCAGCGGTGGCCCGAGTATGTCTGTGCGCTCAATGTGTGGCTCTCTGCCAGCATTCATGCATACGTGTTTTCGTAGGTGGGAGAGTTTACAGATGCACTGACCTGAAAGGCCGAGGTGGTGGGGAAGGGTTTTGACGGTGTATTTAAAGTCTCCTCTGACCAGGTGACTCAACACTGGCTGAGGACTTTATTTTGCATTTGTTTGTTGTAGTTTTGTTTTTAAGCAGCTGGTGGTGGTGGTGGTGGTGGTGGTGGGTGGTGGTGGGGGGGGGTCGTATAACCTCGGCGAGAGAACACGTGCCGGCTGCAGAGTGTGTTTGCCCGCTCAAACGTGAGAGCGTTGGACTGCATGAGCCGGTGTGTGTACATTCAGCTGACTGCCCGGTATCCTGGGAAGACCCGTCACACAGGCCGGGTTTCCACCACATCACACACAAACAAACAGGAGACACGCACGCACACGCACACACACACACACACACACTGAAGTGCACTAGAGGAGATCCATCGATTAGCTCTGCAGTCTCATGAGGGCTACAAGGAAACTTTTCCTCCTTGTCACATATAAGAGGTCCTCACTTTGACCTGTGGCTCCGTTCACACTGAAGCTCCTCAAAGCTTCCAGCTCTGATGTTTGCTGCTCAGACTGAACTGCAAAAACTTTTTAAAAGGAGGACAAATTTACAGTTTTTATCTTCTCAGTCAGCTACTACTGATAGCTGTTGGTGTGTCTAGGGCAGTGCTGCTTTTTTATATTGTCTCAGACTTTGAACCACTGGTCCAGCAATATGGTTTATTTATGTTTCTAGCAGTGGTTCCCAACCCCCCTCTTGACTTTAAGGGGTGAAAGAAAACTATATAATATATAAAATATATACAGTAGACCTATATCTCAGTATTTCATTCATTTTTGTGAGGAAAGTATTATTGATTGTTAAAAACAATTAAAATCCAAATACATACAATACAGACAGAATGTTCCTAAAAATATCAGGAAAACTCATCTCGTATGTAATATTCTCCACTCAAAATTCCTCCAAATCGCTTGTTTTATGTGAACTTACTGTGTCCACCGTACAGTTTATCTGTGCTGTTATTGTTACGCACTGAATATATATATAATAATATCCATAAAATACAGTCAGTTTACTCACTGATAGAAAAGGGTTGGGCACCACTCTTCTACAATAGATTTCCTCTTTCAAAATAAAACCATTGATGAAACTATCTAGAATGGGCATTGACATTGGCACCCTGGTAACCATGGTTACCTAATAATGGTTACCTGGCAGCCAATCAATATCACTTGAAATTGCTGCTAAAACCCATCTCATTGGCAAAAGCCTTCCTTTTTTGTCTCGACTCGCTTGTCTCATCTCATCTGGACTTGACTCTACTAGTCCTGGTCTTGGACTCGACAGGTGGTCTTGACTACGGCACTGGTCTAAGGCAAGTTCATGTGCTGAAGAGAAGACTGGCTGGCAGTGGGTTGTGTGTCGGGTCGGGTACCTGCGCGAATAAAAAAAATTTTTTTCTGGAGAAATTCAAATGATGACAGCCTCCTTTTCTCTTCTTAGCTTCATCCATCAAAATCATCCAAGGTCTCTTTGCCTCGGCCCTGCTGAGCTCGGTCACACTGCCCGCTCGCCCGGCTCCGCTCCCCGTCTGCATTCCCTACTGAAAACCTCATCCCGGTGGTCCGAACCTCCTGTTCTAGTGGTGTAAACAGACCGACACTCTCCTGGTGCTTTGGGCTCGCAGTCCGAGCAGCACAGACTGAGCTAACCATCAAATTCCACCAGACACGTCCCGCAACACGTCCCAGAAACATCTCTCCCTCTGCTCTGGAATACGCACGGGCAGGAAGTCAAACAGAAACAAAAAAATAAATGAAATACAGAGTGCAGACTTCGGTGTGGCACCAGACCAGAAGTCTGTCAGTCAGAGGATATTTGAAGCAGAGAAACACAAAGTTTTGTTTCCTTTTTAAGCAAAAAATATGCAAGAAAACAACATCGGACGACACGCACAATCACGGATCATGGAGCAGAACCGCATTGCAGACACACCGTTATAAAGCCGGGTGGAATTTCGGGGGAACTAGCTTAGTAGCTTTAGCAACTAGTAAGTCAGGAAACTCAGTAAATCACAGAGAATTGAGGCGGAGCAGCCGGTTGACATCTGAGGGGAAAGTTTCTCTATAAAATCTGATCCAGTTTCCCCAAATCACTGATAAAGTACAGATGCAACCCAGTGTAGCATGTAAATGATTTTGTAGCTGTTATTTTAAAGTTGAAGAGTTACATAATGGGGACTTTACGTGCGGTATTTCCTGCCGCTGTCACACAAACAATCATCTCTTAAATCCAGATTGAAGTTCAGACTGTTTATACGTGCAGTGATTTTATCAGGAAGTCCGTCTGTGTGAACGCAGCCTGTCAGGGGTCTTGTGAGGACGCGGCGGTCCAGCCAAACGATCTGTCAGAGCTGAGGCATCCGAGACAGGCGGCCATTAGTTCATTTAGGGAGGGGGGGCAATAGGGGGCGGGCGCTGGGCAGGCCGGATTGACACGGCAAATGTTCTCATGTTAAAGGGATTATCACAGAACAGAGGAGGGGAAGCACCACGGCCTGACATTTCATCTACTGACTGAGCAGCCTGCAGGGACTATATTTCACAGCGGCGGGACACGAACCATTCCCCCTGATTTTAGGAATGAAGAGAGGAATATTTATCTCCTCCTGAAATTAACATTCAGTTTTTAAAAAGTCAAAAGGCCACGGCCTTCAGTCAGCTCATAAATCCGGCATGTAAACTTTAAAATCCAGGGAGGAGACAACACAAAAAAGCTGCAGTGACGTGGCTGTGAGCCGACAGCGGTGAATTATTTATTCTCATGTTGGAGGGATTATCAGCAAACGGAGGAGGAGGAGGAGGAGAGCTGGAGCACCCTGACAGTTAATAGAAGACTGGAGAGTCGTATTGTGGAACGACGGAGGACAGAAATATCTCATTTGCACCGTTTTCTCCTTTTTTTTATGACTGAATAGATGTAATAAGAGGTGTGATGACTGTTAGCAGGTTGCCAGCCAGTACGTTAGCTACCATTCATCTGAGAGATATCCACCAGTCGGAGAAAAAAAAAAGACTAATAGCATAAAATTAAAAATAAACCGCTTTTTAAGGACAGCCAAGTGGAGTCCTGCAATCAGGAATTGATATTGTTCTAAAACGCAGTCGTGTGGTTTGGAAAAGGCTCATGAATAGTTAAATCTGACAAAATAAAGCACATTAAATCCCACATAGAAGAACCTGCTCATGCATCCGCCTTCACGTCAGTCCTTCAGCCGCTGACATGCAATACGACTTGATGTATCACGTATACGGACGGCAGCGGAGGGAGATTTCATTACACAGCGAGGTCAACAGGTCACGGCCAGCAGCAGAGACAGTGAACGCTGAAGTGAAGTTACACAGACAGTGAATGCAACACAAGTCAGCCAGAGATCCTGCTTTTTGTTTGTTTGTGAGGACGGTAACACTTAACGTTAATGTCCTCGTAATAAGTGTTAGTTAATGGGTAATAAGGGTTTGTTAATGTAATAAGGGTTAGTTAATGTAAGAAGGTGTTAGTTAATGGTAATAAGGTTTTGTTAATGTAATAAGGGTTATTTAATGGTAATAAGGGTTAGTTAATGTAAGAAGGTGTTAGTTAATAGGTAATAAGGTGTTCAATAAGACTGTTCGTTAACCAAGTGTTAATAACACATTGATTGAGAGATTATAAGACATTTAGAGAGACGGTTTAAAGAGTTTCCTTTAATAGTTTAATATATGTAATATTATTACTAACTTACCTAGTTTCATTGTTAAACCTTTATTAAGCATGTCTTTATTAAAATGTATACATACTTTATAATGCATATATAAACAGTTAATCATGCACTTATTAACTGTTAACTATTAGTATATTAAGAAAACAATGATTATTACAGTTAAGAAATCCTTTATAATGCAATGATAGATAGATACTTTATTTATCCCAAGGGAAATTCAAGTCAAAATCATTTGCAGTTAACTATTATATATTAAAAGTTAACTACTTTTTTTTTTTGTTGCAGCTACTGGATCCAAAGTGAGAAATTCCTTATTTGTAGTTTTGATTTTCAGAAAGCAGCAGCGCCGTCGGTCAGACTTCAGTGACACTCGCTGTAGACGGTCGTACTCCGCAGTCGATGAATGATTTCCCCTCACGGGTCTTTCCTCTTGCACAGGCCTGTTGTGTCCTTTGTGGGTCTGACCTTGTGTGAATCCCCACAGAGCTTCAACCTGAACACTTCTAATCAGCAGCATGACTGAAAGCACCGTGAAGGTCCTGCTCCGACCACCGTCACGACAAACTTTTTATCTCCGTCAGTAGAAACCAGAAGTGAGATGTACGTATTTTTAGTGAGTGGATGGACGGACGCAAATGTCTCTGTGTGTCTGTCAGTAACAATAACTTTGTAGTTTGAGACAGTTTTTAGACTTTACTGATAGGAACTTCAAAACTTACTGAGGCTCTAAACTTAATTCTGTAATTCAAAATTGCATCATTTTCCCTGCAATTAATTACATTTTACACTCATTACAGCAAACTAAAGCTAATGCAGTCTAATGCAACAGCCCTGCAATAAATCGGCCCATCATGAAGGCTATAACGTTTAGATCAGCGGTTCCCAACTTGGTTTCCTTAAGGGACCCCTTTCTATCATTCAGTAAATGAGGTGACATATTTCATGGATATTTCAGATTATATTCAAAACTATACGAATGGACACAAACAGTGAACTCTTACTTTGTGTAAAATGAGAGATTTGGATAATTTTGAGGAGATTATTTCATATTCTTGAACTTTTTTTACTACTTCTTTTGTCCTGACAAATTGTTTTCTTGTCCCTGATGTTTGGACATTGTTCTATCAGACAGTTTACTTTACATGTCTTTTACAGATTTGAACCAAATGCTGACATAAAGGTCTACTGTGTATATTCTTATTTCTTTTTTTAAAAACTTAAAATCAAGAAGACCCCTACGAAGCTTTGGCGACCCCTAGTGGGGTTCCCGACCCCCAGGTTGGTTTAATTGTAAGCATTCATAGACTGCATTAGTTTTGAGGTGTAATTGGCCACTAAATATATATCTTTTAAATTCTTTTTATGTGTTTCCTGGTTCCAATGTTTCTTTGTTTTTTACTTTCAATTTACTTTTTTCTTCTCTTCGCCAACCTTTATGATATTTCCTGAGACCAACTGTGTTTTATGGTAAGCATTGCTCTCAATATACAGCTGTAAAAGGACCTTTACAGTGTCAGCTTTCAGCAGCCCTATTACCTACTTTCTGAATTTAATCTCTTAATTATTTCCTTTTCTGTTGTTCTGTGACAGTTTAGAGTTTCGCTCGTCCAATTCTCTCTCTTTCTCTTTTCAATAACGGGACGAACTGTATGGCTCTGAATCGACAAAGCAAGTGCCTCAGGACTAGATAAAATTGCAGGCTCTGTGGGTTGGTGCTGCAGTCGGGTTCCTGCGTTGCTCAACGGCAGTGCCGCCCATCCACTGCAATACCAGGCGTTGATTATGTAAGGCCGAACGCAAGTGAGCAGGCAGGGACCGCGGGCACAGGCTGCAGACGCATGGGAGGACGGGGGGAAGGGGGGAAGGGGGGAGGGTATATGAGAAGAGAAGAGCAGAGAGAGAGATAGAGAGTGAGGGGAGGGTATAGGAAGAAAAGGAGGAGGAGGAAGGCAGAGAGGGAGGGAGAGATGAGGTGAAGAGAGGAGAGTTGTCCTCAGATTGACCCACAGCAGCACCAGACAGCCTCGGCCTACCCCCCCTCCTCTCTCTCTCTCCTCTCTCTGTCTATATCTCCTCCGTGCTTGCTCGCTCTTTGCTGCGTAATCGGCTGAAAAAAGGAAAAAAAGAAAAAGAAAAGCATGGCTGGGACGCCAGCACTCTTAAAAACCCTCTTGTGAAAAGGTTCAGTAAGGAACCCGAGTTCAGCTCAGTCCCAAAAAAAACTATTTCAACTTTTTATACTTTAGTTTGACCGACTGGTTAAAATGGAGCTCCTGTAGTATTTTTACAGCAGGTAACCAAAAACGTCTGAGAGCTGTCGGTGTGTTTCCGTCTATTTTGGACACATTTTCTATTTCTGCATATAAAAAAAAAAGAACAAACTTTTGAAGGTTTCTAAAGTTTTTACTGTCGAGGTGGAGAAGTTCGGGAATAAAATGGAAACAGACGTCAAGAGCTGAAACCATCAGGTGTCTGTTCAGCATCGACAAAAGTTTATTTAAATGCAAAGGTTATGATACCATACACCTACGAAACACCCATCGAATGAGAGAAAAGCACACCTGAAAGCCCGCTGCGCACCGGTTTGTTGGACCTGCAAACCGCTCAGACTGAACGTGGCCCAGATCTGCGTGGAGATTAACCGGCTGCACTGGCATAAAAGCAGAAGATGCATACATGAATGCATCGTTTCTAACATCTCTGCATCAGTGAATTTATGTATAATAATTATTAGTAGACTGCCCTGTGTGATAATTCTATATTTAGATTGATTCCTCTATAAACTGTTTCTCAAGCTGCTCAAGAACCAAAGATAAAATCAAACTATCTGTATCATATTCTTCTGCATCGTATCGCGTTGAATCACAATAGAGCTAACTCATGTCGCATTGATTGTTTCATACGTATGTTTAATGTATCGGATCGATGGCAATGCACGGAGATGTGAATGGCCTCAGTGTTGGAGACATCGATGTATTAAACATTTATGCAGTGCTGTAAAAGAACCTGTAAATGATTAGAAATCTTCTTAAGAATGGACGTAATAAAACTTTAACTTACAGTTTGTGCTACAGTTAAAAGGAAGATGTGGCACTCTGTTGCAGATTCAGGTGAGAAGATTTCCACTCACAATCACGGCGGATAATATTCAGCGCTCCATATTCAGTCCCTGACATCAGTCACCGAGGGCGGGGTTCGGTGAGAGACACAAGGAGCAGAAGAGAGACGGGTGAAGTGAAGTTGCTAGTCGGACTGTAAACAATGACCGGTGTACGGAAGAGAAAGTCTTTGGCCCCGAATAACCGTTATTAGGCACCGAAACAGTCTGTTGTTGCCCCCAGAGGCGAAACTGTCATCAGACGATAGCCATTGAGTTCTGAGATTGATATAGTTTGAATTAGCTTCACCTTCATCATATAAATATATATCATAATTATAATGTTAATAATCCAGTGTGTAACATTTAGGAGGCAGAAACAGAATATAATAATATCCAAAGGTATGTTTTTATTAATGTATAATCACCTGAAAATATGAAGCGTTGTGTTTCCGTTACCTTAGAATGAGACGTTTTTATCCCTACAGAATGTAGATGTGTAAGACCACGTACTTTTTTTTTTTTTTTCCCTCCTATCCACTTTGCTGCTGAAAACATCAGAATTTCCCCATTGTGGACCAATAAAGGAAAATATCTTATCTTATCTTATCTTACACAGAGGAACCTCAACAGGTTCAATGTGGAACCTCTTGTCTTTAGAGCGTGCTGCCAAGATGGAGAGTGCGTGTGTGTTTTTGAGTGTGTGTGAAGCATTAAACTCGAGATTTAGTCCTCATCGACCTGCCGTATAGATTTACTCACTCACACACACACACGTGTACAGCACAGTGTGTGTGTGAGTGAGTGTGTGTGTGTGCGTTGGTAGAAGTAGGTCAGTAGTGAAAGGGTTCTCGACTGTCCTCACACGGCCTCTGTTCGGCCCGTCACACCACTCGTGTCGACTCTAATTTTCTCTTCCTCATCCTCCTCCCCCCTCCTCCCTTTCTCTCTGCTCTGATTAGGAGGGGAGCAGGTCCCACCCCTGGTTCAGACGGGTCTTGTGCAGGTTAACTCTTCAGCTGCCGCCTCCCTCCTTTTGTTTTTTCACCATTTTACCCCCAAAAACTGTCATTTTTTTAACCTCCCGCGAGGCCGGCGGTCTGCTCGTGTTTTCACAGCGGCCCCAGCCAGACCATTTGCGGCGTGTAACTGGTGTTTTTGAGGGAGACCCGACGCCACAAAATGGGGCAGAGCTTGATGTCGCGAAGGACATGAATCAACCTTTTTCCCCCTGATGTTTTATTCACCAACGGAGGCAGAAAGAAAAAAAGAAGCAGAGACACTGGAAATAAAAACCCTGAGAGTGGCAGCAGGTTTCCAGCCAGTGAACTTCCAGGAAGGCTGGATAATGCCCAGATCTGTGAACAAATGGTGTATTACCTAACCCCAGCCAGCTTTACATGATTTACAGTAGAGGCAGGAGAGGCGGGTGTCTGAGCTCACACTGCCATCTGCTGGGGGGGAACGGAGCAACAAGAAGACGAGCCTCCTATTTCACCACACAGACGAGCCAAAACGCCCCAACATGGCTCCCGAAAACGCCTCTGGCAACCTCACGGACAAATTCCCCCCCGAACCAGAGCCGAGTCTAACCACAAAACAGCCCCCAGAATGTAAAGTTCAGCCTGTGAAACCGGCCGGGAGAAAGGTGGAGGGGAGGTATGCAAAGGCAGCGGTTTGAATCTGGAGGAGAACAGTATGTTCCCTGGACTGGTTACACTGGTTTCTATAGTGCTGCTGGTTTCTATGGCGTTTCACCAGGCGCTCTTGGCGACGGCGCTGAATACCTTAAATGATTTAGGCCGGTTCACCAAGGTTGAAAAAAACACTGGCTCAGCGTGGGAACGAAGCTGCTGCTGACAGGGAAATAAAGTGTTCGAACAGGAAGCGATTTAAAGGAAGGAGAATATTTCTGTAACGTTTCACAACAAGAAATATCTTTTAACTCTCAATGTGGAATATTTAGCTGCTGTAAAATAACCAATCAATAAAGGAGTCACAGAGCAGAGGGCAGAGGTCAGGAAGCAAACAATTCATGGAGCAAAAGTTCCTCCTGTAACTGAGTTTAAAGCTGCAGTGTAGAGCTTTTATACATATAAATGGACGGCTGTTATGTTTATTTATATACCTGAACCGTATATATAATCAATATAAATGATTATTTTGTGTGATTGCTGTCGGTGTTGAATGTTGCAGCTGGTGACGGAGGGGCTCATTCTGCTACTTAATCAATAATAACACATCATCACTTATATGGTTTGTATTATTATTGTGAATCTGCAAAGTTATGAAATAAATGAAGAAAGAAAAGTTTCATATTTGCCTGTAAAACATTGGAAGTATAAAGTACATGTACTTAGTTACACTGGTTATTCTATATTTAGAAGATATCACATTTTACAACTAATCTATATCAGGTCTTAATATCAGTTTCCTTCATTATTGATAATCGATATCTGTCCTTTGTTGATTGTTAATTCTTCATTTGGAGTCTTTTTTTAAGCAAATACTGATTTAAGTGTTTGTTTGTGATTGAATGAGCATTTATTGTCTAAAAAGACTTCACATAAACTAACTTGATAAGTTTTGGAAAATTTAATAAGTTTTCTACAATATCGTGTAAATAAAGAGATAAACAAAACTGATGTAACTGCTAATGTTGTTCCCTTTTATATGTATGTTACTTTATTTAGCTTGTCTTTGTTTGATTAGTTATATTAATGTTCAGATTATGTTTGTTCCTGTTATTTACCCTGTTGTCCTCCTTTAATAAAAGAGAAGGTAAGAATAAAATAATTTAATGTTTTTTTCTCTTTTACTGAACGTCTTTGTTTTAAATCACATTCTGACTAAATGTTCAGTGTCTGTTGAACCTAAAATGTAATTAGTCTTTGTTCTAATCTGCAGTGAAGAGCTCATCAGGAACTCACTCCTGCGCTCGTTGGTTTCAGCATCAGAAGCACTTTTTCATTTCTCTGATCAGATTCACATATTTTCGCCGTTTGGAGACGAAAAACTTGATGTGAAAAAGTGTCAGATGAAGAAAGTCTTTCAGATCAACAGCCGTCATGTGACCTCTGCACCATGTGACCTCTGCACCCTGAACGCTGGTCGAAATCTGTCGTTAATCAGCAGACGTCCATCCGGTCATTTCATTTACACTGAAGCACGTTGGAGTTAAAACTGTTTCAAATGTTCGGTGCAGATATCAGATTGGTTCTGATGCCAAATCAATATTTTACTTTGAGGGATATGAACGTGTTTGTTTTATTGATTGACTCAGAACGCAGGAGAACGGTGGCCGTCAGTTGATTAGTTGTCAGTTATTAATTACCAACTATTTTAAAAATGTATTAATAATTTTGCCTATTTTTAAAGAACAGGCAGTAAACTGAATATATTTAAGTTTTGGACAAAATTAGACATTAGAGGACGTCACCTTGGGTTGTTATTGAACTATATTTACTATTTTGATCATTTTTGTCATTTTCTTATGAAAGAAATCAGTTTTTAGCCTCTGAAACACAAAGATTTCCTGTTTTCTTTTGCTGTAAATGATTGTAAACCGAGTCATTTTCATTGTTTAAACAGTTGGAAGTCGTCACATCGGGCTCCTTTTCCCTCACATTTTATAGAATTATTTTATAATGCACAATTGTCAGATTAATCAATAATTAAAATAACTGTTAGATGCAACTTTAATTCAGTTAATGATAAAACAATCTTACAAATAAACCACAAATAGTTTTTTTCCTCCATTTTAAATGTTAATTTCCCTCTAAAAATGAGTTTATTGAAACAAAATTAATCAGCAATAAGTTTGATTATTGATCGACAAACAATCGCTGGTTCCAGCTGATTAAACGGGACAATTTGATGCTTTTTTTTGTTTTACATGATTATGAACTAAATATTTTAAGGTTTGTGGGTAAATATTTACAGTGAATACAATTTAAAATATTGATTAATCTGTTCCTTATTTCTACAATTAATCATTTTATCCATAAAATGTCAGAAATAAGTGAAAAATGTATCATTTCCCAACAAAAAAGGAGCAACTCTTCACACTGAAGAAAATATCTGCCGACTGATTTTCTGATAACTGATAATTGTTTGATGAAGTTCAGGTATAAAGAAGCATTAAATATAAATACTCAAGTACAAGTACCTCACATGTGCACTTATGTACAGTATTCGAGTAAAAGTACCGGATTACTTTCTGTTCTGTGTAAAAGAATAAAGAACCAGCACCTGAATCCAACCGGTTTTTTCACGTTTTATTTTTTGCTTGCAGACAAAAAAAGATATCCATGAAAGTCCAGATATAATAAATAAATTAACTACTGAAAACTGTCGGCTATGAGAGCAGTTTAAAGGCGGAAACTTTACAGAGCTCGCAGGAGGATCCCACGTCGCTGATGAGATCGTTAAAAAATAATAATAATAATAACCCAAAGAGTTTGCCGCCGCTCGAGCCGCTGATTGTTCTCTGATGTTTGCATATTCTAACAGAGTCCTACATGGTTCAGTAAACACAGGAAGAGAGAGCAGAGGAAAGCAAAATAAAAGCTTATTACTTCTTTTTTTTTTTTTTACCCCACATATGAAAAGTTAAAAAGTCCCCGCGGGAACTGAGCCAAGTGCTTGTGGTTTCTTGTCCCTAAAATATCATCTGTAACTCTCGTGGAAAACCTGAAAGATATTGTTTACTAGTTCACCCGTATTTGAGCAAAAAGAAACGCACTAATAACTATGTCTTCTTTTTCTTTTTCTTTTTTAAAGTGATTCACTTACTTTGGTGGCGAGGACAACAAAAAAACAAAAACGCCATCTGAAAGACATAATTATTATTGTGTACTCGTATTTTCATGCATACAGTATTGAATTCTCTAGAAAAACAAAAAAGAAAAACTGTCGTAAAAGTGTAAATGTCACAATCTTACCGAGTTTGTAGCTTAACTGACTGAGGTAAAGTTGCCTGTTTCCTGAAGAAGAGCACACATGCCTTTGTTTTTTTGTTGTTTTTGTCTTTCTTTTGGACAAGGACACAAACGGTATTTGGGTTCATCTCCCGTTCAAGTCGATCAACTCTGATAATCGTCGTTTAAAAAAGACCCCATGTGAGAAAAAGATGTGTTTTTTAACTCTTACCGCTCAGAGCTGGACGCCAAAGGACAAATCCACCTTAAAAACAGATCACCTACTTCATGAGTTTTGGTTTCTTTCTAGCGGCCTGTTCCCACCAGATTTCCTACGTTTCCCAGAATGCCGTTGCAGCTGGTGTGTCTGAGTAAAGCTGGTTATGGTTCAATAGACAGCAAACACGGTTCATTCTCACTCTTTAAAGTAGAGTTGTTCTGATACCGATGGCAGAAAATCCTCCGACGCTGCCCACATCCGATACCACGTCACGTACGAGCCCCGTTCACCACCTTTTTGTTCCCAATAAAATGACAAATATATCCTGTATGGATTTTTATAACGTGTTCGGATCGGTATCGGTAATCGGGAAGGAAAAAAAATGGCATCCAGAACATCTCGAAATGACAAGTTTCTGAAACGGTGGACCGGTTTTAAGATGTAAAACCTTCCCAGAACCTAGAACACGGTCTCGTGGTACAAGTTCCCCCGGACCCGCCCCCCCCCCCCCCCCACCACACTGGACCCTCACAGACTTTATGCATAGAAACATTTGTGTGGGCAGTGAAATCTGAGGCTAATATTTCAAACTGTGTAAGTTAAATGGTGTTTGCCTGCGGACCAGATCAACACATTTCTGATGGACTGTTGGTGTAAAGCAGCGGCTCCCAACCTCTCAGTGACCGCAGCGTAAAACCAGAGATTTGGATCATTATTTCCTGTCAATATTATATCAGAGGTGAGTTTTCTGTTGGTTTTAGGAACTTTTTATACAATCCTCCGTCTCTATTGTGTATTTAAGCCAAATATTCAATTTTCTTCACAGAATTTGACAAAATGCTGATTATATTTAGCTTTTGGCCTCCTGTGTATACTTTAAGACTTCTCTTACACCCACTAACATCAAGAAGGCCTGGCGACCCCCAGTGAAGCTTTGGCGACCTCCAGGTTGGGAACCACTGGTGTAAACCGGCAGCTCAGAAAAACGCACCAGCAAACACATCGGCCGATAATTTTTACACTGTTAAATGTGCCGCTCTCTCTCTCTTTATATATTTTAGTCTCAGTTCTTTCATAACCAAATTTAAGGAATTATTATAAAAATGTTTGTGTTCAGCCGACAAATTAAAGTAAAGATTAATATTGGCCTCTAAAATGTAATATCAGTTTGGCTCTACTTGAAGTTTTCAGCATTAGTTGTACAGTTGCATTGTGGGAATAATAAATCTGAATGATTGTTTAATGAGGAGTTTTAAGGTGGATCTTCCATTTGAGTTTTTTGGCGGTAAATTCACAAACTGAATTGATGTCATTGAAACTAAAATGGACCCAAACACCTGCTAACATGGAAATTATCACCATATTCAAAAGAACTCATAATAGCATAATAATAATAGTATAATGGATTCAGTCCCCATTATATTAGATGTCGTTCAGACTTCAACAGATCACTTGGAAAAAAATACAAAAACGTTAAAACGTCAACGTGGAATTCGTTCCAGCACTGATTCTTTGATTTAAAAACAAAAACTTAGAAAACAGAATGGCACTAATTTGAGCTGTCTATTCACAAAACAAAACAAAACAAAAAGTTTGGTTTTAAAAACCTTTTCTTTTCAGAACAAAATGTTTTCATTGTTGGATTTGGGGAGAGGACGTTCCCTTGAGAAAAAGCTCTGATGGTCCATTATTCTGAAAAAAGTTTATTTTAATGAGAAATCCATGCGAGGTCTCACCTCTTAGAAAGGGTTTGATTTATTGTTTTTTCCTTTATACAAAGTTTACCTTAAAACATTGATTTTTTTTTTCTTTTTGTAAGAAAAATGACACAAAAGGCCAAAATAAAAGCCTTGTTATTTGTACAGGAGCAGAGCTGGAACTTACTCTCGTGGCGGCGAGAGGAGGCGTCGTCCTGCGCGTTCGTTGGTCCCCACAGTTCATCGGCAGAAAACAAACTACATCCTGATGCTTTGTCCGTTGATTCAGCTCCTTCCTCTCAGTGCTTCTCAGCTGCATCAGGACCCAAAGTTCATCTCCAAAGGCACAGAACCCGTGGTTTTAGTGATCCATCTGAGCTGCGACTGTCTGTCCGAGCATCCGTCTGCGGCCGTCTTTGGGTCCCGAGCCGCCAGCTGAGAAACACTGACACATATCGTCCTCCAAGTCGTCTCCACGGTGGGGGAAGAAACGTTAATGCTGAGGGATAAAAGACGGGCAAAAACATCCAATTAGGGCTGATTATCTGCACAATTATCTGGGACTTATAGATCATCAGCATGGATTAGTCCAACAGAAAGACAGGAAGGTGCTCGTGGGGGTTCGGGTGTGAGAAATATGATAACGTGGCAACATTTTGAAAAGATAAAACTGATCAAATCATAAAGATTAATAATCTGACCAGTAGGGATGCTGATCATGTTCAGGATTAATGTTTTCTATTAACGCCTGTTTAAAAACTCATCTCATTTATCTGGTTGTCATTTCTGGTGCAAAGTCACACGAGTACAACACACCTGTGGTCAAACACTCGAGCATGAGAGCAACGACGGTGTCCTAGGTTACGCTGCCACCTGGTGGAGATACCGCTGCACTAATACCAATATAACAAAAACATAACACACCTGTAACAGGCCACACCAGCTGCTATAAAAACCATCTGGATCGGTGGATGGACTCTTTAGAGGTGTTAAACCTGTTTCACCAGTTAAATGCTTTTATTGTGAAGCCGCAGCAGCAGGAAATGTTTCCGTCAGCAGTAAATGAATCCACGCTCACCTGTCTGCTCATGTCTGCTCCTCTGTCAGAGGCTGTGATTGGATGACACCTTCAGATTCCTCCTGGATCACTTCGTCATTGTCGTCGTCGTCGACGTCCTCGGCTTCCTCCTCCTCTTCCTCCTCCTCGTTGCAGTCGTCGTCAGTGGCCTCCTCTCCTTGTTCTTTCACCTCCATCTCTCCCTCGCTGTCTGCGTGCTCCGCCGCCGCTTCCTCCTCCTCTTCCTCCTCTTCCTCCTCCTCCTCGTCCTCTTCCTCCCCCTCCTCTCCCTCGGCCTCCTCGTCGCTGAAAGGCTCCTTGCCCTCCTCCACCCTCCTGGCGGTCTCGGAGAACCAGTCCCTGACCTGCTCGTAGCTCATGCTGGACTTGGTCACCAGGTCGTCCAGGTCTTTCTCGCTCAGGGCTCGGTGTTTGAGGTAGTAGTCCTTCAGAAACGACTTACCGGACTTCACCTGCGGGACGGACAGATGGACAATTACAGTAAGTGTAGGGTCCACTGATACAGTATAGACCGTATGTACTGTGAGAGAAACGTCTGTCCCTTTAAAAACTGGCTGCATTACTCCAGTGTGGGACATAATCAGTGAGCAGGTCTAATTAAAGGTAATATTGTATTTATTAGGGATGGCTCAGTACCACTTTCTTTATCCAATACCAGTCCGGATACATCTTGATCAACCTAGCCATCTGAAAACATTATGCTCAAACTGTGAAACGTTATACACCCATGTAGGAAGTAATAGTTTAGGCTAATGGATGGTATCAGATTATACCACATCATATTTTACCTCTGATATCTGATCCAGTGATTCGGGCTGGTATCTCCTAGTATTTACAAGGTTTGTTAAGTATTAAGGTCTCAGCGTGCCTTTAAGGAATGTCTGCAGGCAGCCTCGTCAGCGGGTCTGCTGTGGAACGATGTCGTTCTCCTTGTGAGTTTTGGGAATACATGAGAGAAAGTATAGTCTAAAACCGTCTCTGGCTGGTGTATATATGTGTGTATATATATATATATATGTATATATATATATTGTTATAATGTACAGAATAATGCACCTGTACCACGCTCTCCCTTAAACACCAGCAGCTGAGTGCATGCTGCACACTGACCTTGATGGCAGTGGCGCCCCCCATTGGGGATCGTTTGCAGGGATAAGGCCGGCGTGTCCTCCTGGACCAACCACGGAAACGCTTTCTGGACTTCTTCTGGCTCTTGGCTCCACCGTTCAGCGCCTCATCCACCTTAATTAAAACATATAATTATAATCCCAATTAAACAGCTCAGCCTCAGAATGACTCAGTTTACTGTCAGTAAACTCTTTTACCTTCCCACGTTTGAGAAACAGCGTCTGATGAAGCAATGAATTTGAATAATTGGTTCCATTGTTATATACCTTTGGGTATTAATGTTTTACTAATGTTTTAGTTGTTTGGTGTAAAATCTTTATCAATAAAGTAACTAAAGTGTTACTAAAGTACGTCAAAATTGTACTCAAGTACAATACTGAAGTAAATGTACTTAACTAGCTAANTTAGCTAGTTAAGTACATTTACTTTAGTATTGCACGCTATTAGTTAGCGTCTTGCTCTCCATTACAAACATGATTTATTTACAGTCCAAGTAACTGCACGTCAGAGTGCTCTAAAGAACTGACACACATCCCGTGGTGCTTCCCTCACAGATTTATGATCTGTATCGTTTTCCTCCTTTACCTTCCCACTCTGGTAGAGGTAGTACCACTTCAGGTTGCTGTTCTTGCAGGCGTAACGTGTGTCTCCGAACCAGTTGACGATGTACGTCCTCGGCAGACCGCTCTCGTCCGCCATCTGGTCGTACTCCTCGGCTGTCGGCCACTGCGTGCGGACAAAGGCCTTCTTCAGGATGTGGAGCTGCTCCGGCGTCTTCTTCATCGCCTTCCTGCTGGAGGGTGGAGTGGTCTGCCGCTCCTGAGCCGAAGATGAAGGCGCAGCAGCCGGTTTCATCTTCTCGCCGTCCCCCTCGACGTCCTCGTCCTTTGACTGTGCTGCTGAAGGCATTTTCCGCCTCTCGGTGAACCAAGCGTCCACCTCGCGTCGCGTCAGCTTCGTCTCGGCGCGCAGTCGGCTCAGCTCCTCGTCCGACGGCGTGTCTGATTTCTGGAAGCTGGCCTCCAGGATGAGCAGCTGCTCCGGAGTCTTTTCCTTGAACTTCTGTGGCGTGAAGTCGGGGAAGGCGTGGCGGAATTTGACCCGCGGGTCGCTGGAGGAGCCAGACGAGCCCGGGGCGTTGGCAGAAGTTGGGGAGCAGTCGCTGGCGTCGTCACTGGAGTCGATGACGATGGTGGTGTTGATATCGCTGTTGTTGCTGTCGTTAAGGCTGCCACTGTTGTTCCTTGCTGCTCGGCCTCCTCCCGGCGCCGCCGCTCTGCTGGGCGGCGTTTCGCTCAGCAGGACACCGTGGTGATCCTTCGAGTTCCTCTGGTTGTAGCGCGTGTCGCTGAACCACTTCTTTATTGCTCGTTTGGAGAGTTTGGTGACCTGCATGAGTCGTGATATCTCCGCCTCGGTGGCGAACTGCCTCCTGCCGTAGCTCGCCTTCAGCTCCGCCAGCTGCTCCTTGGACTTCTTCGGTTTGGTTGCCGACGCGTCCAAACTGAGCGCTGTGCCGGCCGACATCTCTGTCTTCGATTCCGACGTCGACGGTTCGGCGGCTTTGGGCTGGTTGCCGGGGACGCCTGCGACCGTCAGGGTGATGGGAGAGGCGACTGGCATGGTGCTGCCGTTGCCGGCCACCTGAGTGAGGACGAGGCCCGGCTGGCCGACGATCTGGCAGGTCTGGAAGATGGACTGCAGGCCGTTGGTGGCGGCAGCGATGTTGGCAGGGATGACGGTGATGGTCTGAGGGACGGTCTGCACCGTGCCGTTAAACTTCTTCCTTCTCGCCTCCTCCACCTGCAGAGAGAAGGAACGGAGAGTAAACTGTTACTGATACGTTTCATCTTAACGGGGTACAAACAAACAAAGCTGGGCTGGTCTATAACTGGACAGAATAACTGTAAAATGAAACCAGGATCAACTGATAGTACACATGTATTATATATACAACCAGTCTGCTTGAAATATTAATGTGTGTTTATGTTTTTTCTGCAAAAAAAGTATAATTTTCATATTAAATTCCTTTAAAAGGTAATCTGCTTCTCCCTTACTAAAATTACACAATCTATGGACACAAGACGTCTTTTCCTTAATGGTTAATATACCTACATGTACTGACGTATAGCTCTATATTTGTAACGCAGTATTGTTATAAATTAGGTAAATGACACCCAAATTTAAAATAAAATAACTAACCAAACACACTTTGCTAAACCAGAGTGACTTGATAACAGTTTATATACCTCAAAGTAAACCAAACTAAATTCAACTGGAGGCACGAGATGGAAAAAAGCTCTAATAAAATACTAAAGTATCAACATAAAGAAACTGGGAGGAGACGAGCAGAAAAGCAATGAAAGCAGAACACCACTTAAAAAAAGGTCACTTAATCAATAAAAGAAGTCTATAACAAATACTTTTATGAAGTGATCTGATAAATCGTTTTAAACCGGCCAAAGTAAGAAATTCATGTTGTAATCCGACTCTTGAGGGATTAAAAAGGTCTTTGATACAACAGGCTGAGCCAGATCTTATTTTACTGGATGATCCATAAAATGTATCTGAGAACACACTTTATCTGAAGCCAACATGACTCGACCAGGATTTAAAACACAAAAACAAAACGTTAAAAACTTCCTTTCACTGCTGTCAGACACTAATCATTCAAACAGAGTCACCTGTGTGTCTGATATATGTATATGAGGAAATAAATGTGACTCCACACTTCTTTCTCACATTCACAGCAATCAGAACAACACCAGACGCTCGCCATGTGAGCGACAGAAGTGTAAAACGCCGCCTTAAAACAGGCTGCGGATGTGATGTGGTATGAAAGCATCATGGTGAAGCACGGACCTCCTCCGGCGTCCAGCTGACTCCGTGTTTCAGCCTCTGAGCAGAAAACCAGACTTTAATCTGCTCCTCGCTGAACTTGGTCTGCGAAGACAAGCCCATGATCTCCGACACCGACGGGTACGGAAACCTACGGCACAGAATCAGAGTCAGTCAGGGTCAATAGTTTACATATAAACAGCCCAGTACGACACCTGAAGGGTTTAACTTAAGTAGGTGGAAAGAATGTCTCTATAAGCTTTGGTAGATTAATTTAGACTAGGGCTGCAACGATTCCTGGAGTAACTCGATTACAAAAAATGACTGAGGAGTTTCCTCTGCCTCGAAGCCTCGTTTCATTAAATTTAAAGCTCACGTTTCGCACGTGTACACAACGTGCGTATGTCACAGGCTGTGCGTCCCTACAGTGTTGGGAGTAACGGCGTTTAAGTGTAACGGCGTATTTTTTTCAGTAACGGAGTAATCTAATTAATTTACTTTTCACGGCGTTACTACACGTTGGTTGAAATGAATTTGGTTATTTTATTGGAAATTTTGACTGAACGGTTTACTACTTTTATAAGGTATGGTATAATAAAATAAAGTGTCAATTTCTTCTTAAAAAGGAACAAACTTGGTTGCTCATGTTTATTTGTGGCGGGGTGGGTGGTGTGTGAAGTGATCTTTTTCTATTGTATATTTATAATTGGGCTTTAATTAAGCAAAAGTATGTTTTATCCGATTACTCGATTAATCGATGGAATATTCGATAGCTGCAGCCCTACTATAGACCCCGATAAAAGACGTTTTTTCTTTTATATTATGACTTTTAATTTAATTTAATACGTTTTAAGTTATGCAAATAAGAAGATGTATAATTAAATGTGTACTCATTTACATATCTGTCTCTGTTTGTTTATTTACTGTAAGCAACAACTAAACAGCTGATTTTGGTTTTAAAAGTATTTTCTGTGTTGGAAAACATGATTTTGTTTTACACATTTTTTCCACATAAAATGGAATAAGATATAAAAAATGTCTCTGAACAGGTATTAAGTTGTTATTGAAGTATCTCACTCACAACCTTGGCAGCTCTACCTTTTACAAATCTGGAGATTTCAGGTTTTGAGTTTAAGAGAAAAGTTCTTCATCAGCAGTTACCACTACAAAACTATTGAAAACGTCTTTTCAGAAGAAAACGGCAGAATATTGGAGTTAGAATTCACCTACAGTACAATACCATGTTATAAATCTGCAGTGCTGGGCAAAGCTTAATACACTTTCTTATTCTCTATCTGAATTTCATCATCATATAATATACAAAATATGAAACTGCCCTCCCCCTAAACCCTCTCTCCTACTAAACACCCCACTCCATCCAACCACCACCCAGTCCTAACAGTAATGGTCAGATATTAAATCTTTCATTTTATTCATTTAATGAGGAAAAAAGTGTCAAAAATTGGATAAAAAAACAATATTTCGCTAAATCGTCAAAAGTAAAAGTAAAGATTTGGACATTTTGCGATTTTGAGAATATTTTGATTAATTGTAACAATGCCAGATTTAAATGTTAAGAATCTACAAGCAAAAAAAAGATAATGTGTATTTATCACAGACTATAATAAAGGCTGTGGCCCCGCCCCTCCAGGTGCGTTACCTGTTGTAAGCGCTGACCAGCAGGACGTTGTTGTCCATGGCCGTGTTGTAGGTGGGGATGCTGCTGATGGGGATGAGGAGCTGCGTCTGCGTCTGAGTGCTGTTCTGCTGGTTCTGCAGGGCCGACAGAACCTGAGCCAGCGTCCCGGGAGGCAGCACGGCGCCGCCGCCCGAGCCGCCTTTAATCTGCAGCACGTTGGGGCTGTTGACCACGATGCTCTGCGGGACGGCCTGGACGTGCATCGGCGCGGAGACGGGGATGAGGCGAGGGGCGAGGGCGGCCGGGGTCATCGGGGCGGGAGACAGCGTGGGCGGCTCCTTGTTCTCGTCGTCCTCGTCGTCGCTCTCCACTTTGATGACGTCGTCTACGGCCATCTTGTGCAAGGCGGCGAACTTCTTGGGTTCCGGTCGGCTCTTGATCCTCATGATGGGCGTCTTGCTGAGGGCGATGCCTCTGCGCGACGTCTCCTCGGCCTCGTCGTCCTCCACTTTGACGAAGCTGCCGTCGAAGGTGAGGTCGTTGACCGTCTGCTGGAAGATGGTCTCGTTGTTCCGCTTCACCATCGTCCGTGTGAAGTTGTCCTCGCCCGGGTGGAGGCGAGCGTTGTGGGCCAGCAGCGTGTCGTAACTGGGAGGGAAGAAGAACGAAGAGTTGTTGCAACTGAGAGGAAGAAACAGGCCGACTCAGGTCAGTAGCTGGGAGACGAACTCACGACTACGAGCTACAGACACTAAAGAGAATTCAGTTCATTGTTAATATAAAACTACTGGACTGCTTGACTCTAATGATTATTATCATTATCGATTAATCTGACTGATCATTTTCTCGATTCCTTGATCAGTTGTTTGGTCGAGAAAATGGTGAAAAATGTTGATCACTGTTTGAAGAGACGTCCTCAAATGTCTGTTTTTGTTCAAAGCCCAAAGATATTCAGTTTAGTGTCAAAGAGGACTAAAGAAAGCTGAAAATATTCACATTTGAAAAGCTGAAATCAAAGAATTCTGACACATTCTCCTAAAATGAACGTCCCAAAATAGTTGTAAAAGTTCGACACAGACTTTTCTTTTCTTTCCACGTTAAATAAGTCCTGTAATAAATGTAAATAACGACACACTGAATCAACACGAACCTCAGCTGCAGAGTTATCCTACCTCTTGGTGTGGTAGTCGCACTCCATGCAGACGTAGGAGGTGTTGAGGACGACGTCGGGATGCTCCGTGTCCACGTGCATGGTGAACAGGTTGAGCTCCGCCGTCTGGAAGTTGCAGTATTTGCACTCGTAGCCTCCCTCTGCCATGTTGGAGTCCAGATAGTGGTCCGACACCTGCCTGCCGTCCGCGTCCTCGCCCCGCTCCTCCAGCGGCCCGGAAACCTCCGAGGAGACGGTCGCCACGCCGTTACTGTCATCCGGTTCGGCTGCCTCCGCGACGTCCTCCATCTCCTGATCCGAGTCGACGGTTTCTCGAGGAGGAACCATGCAGGGGGTGGTGGATTTCCTCCTGCTCGCCATCCCGACGTCCGGTGAGCGCTGCGTCTAGCCGAGTATCAAAGCTGTCTCAGTTCAAGCCGTCCTGCTGTGGCTCCATAAAGAAGGATCAGTCAAATGTTTCCTCTGTAATCATTAAACCCTGAAGACGAGAGGGAGACGGAGAATTAGTGTTACAGCAGTTCGGTCAAACTCACAGCACAAGTTTCTCTTTTAGCTCGTTTGGTGCGTTCGAGTGCAAACAGATAAGGGTGCACGATAATTAACAGGAAATTATTACGTCATACCGATAAGAACTCGTTAACTCGGTCATAATTTTGGTAGTTGCTGACTTGAATTGATATCCACAGTATTTTTCCACAAGTTACACATGAACAATAGAAACATGAACTTAAAAAGGCCGAAAGAACGACTCGCGGGAACAGGGAATTTCCGTCACACCGTGAATGCAGCACAGCTAGCTTACGTTTCAAAACAAATAACATGGCGTCGATTGTGTGGGACTTTTTCTCCCAAAACACGCTTAATGCCGCTGTCACTTCTCCTCCACGGACTCTCCTTCTGACTCTTTTCCCCTCGTTCACCGGTGACTTGCACTCATACAAATGCCCTTCCTGGAGGACGGATTCAAACTGCGCGGGGATCGGTGGATTATTTCCATTGGAGTAGAGATGAATGTGGGTGGATGACGGAGGAAGCCAGGTGCGTTTTAATGGAAAGGTGTGTCGCAATGTGATTCTGACTTCGCGGGCGCTACGACGTATATGTGTGTGTGTTATCGGTTATAAACAACTGTTATCGTGCATCCCTACAAACAGACTAAATGAACACCAGGAAATGGGAGTCTCAGTCCGATAACATGTTAAAGCTCAGCTGAAACAGCTTAAATTGTTAAAAATATATCGGCCAATATTCATTTTTTACATTTCTTTCTTTAACAAAGTACTTAGAAGAAGTCGGGATGGGACGATGTTATCTCGTATCGCAATCCGGGTGAATTTCCCTTATCGTGATAATATCGTGTATTGCGAACTTTTTGGCCAAAATAATCGTGACATGAAGTTGTATGGATGTATAATATCTCTATATTATTTTATTTAAGCTATACCGGACTCCTGTTTTGCCCTATTTGCCCTATTAAATATGAATCCTATCACTTATATTAACGTTCCTGTGGCTACTTTTCTTATCCGACCGGACTTTATCGAATATTTAACAAGAAAACGATTTAACAATCTAAAAAAACCAATCAGTTGTATGATTGAGAAAGACTGTTGTGGCCCTTTAAGAAGAACTGATATCTAAATGTCTGAAATGTCTTGAATAAAGTGTTTGCAAGCTGCAGTTTCAGGCAAATTCACTGCATTAGTTTGGCCACAGCTCATCATTAACAGTTCAATAAGGTAGAATTTACTTTATTTTAACAGAAAATCTCTCTTTTAGAAAGTTAAAGTGTTCACTGCTCGCACAGTTAACGTCCCTGTTCATGTATTCATCAACCACAGCAACTGGAGATGTGATCATTAACAGGCTGTTAGTGTGCGTGACTCTGCGCTTTAAACATCACGGCGAGTCGGTTTCACTTTGCATCGGGTAAACCTGCTTTTAAAGTTCATACAGTTTCACAGGGTTGATTTTAACTCTTTAAAAAAAAAAAAAATCCAGGAGTTTTTCTTGACAGCACTCCCTCAGAATATTAAAAATTAAATTAAAAGAAAACACCAATGTGATGTTTTTTTTTATTGTGGAGCCCTACTTTCCGAAAAGACCTTTTTCACAGCAGCCATTCTGACACGAAATAGTAGGGTAAACACGGGCTCTTCATATGGTCCCACGCCTACTTAAAGAGTATTTAACACCGAGTATGAAGGTGGCTTTCAATATCTGTATTTACTATTTTATCTAAACTTTACCCTACTTCTGTTTTGCCCTACTTCTCTGACCATTAAATGTACAATAATATTTTTGTATTGCGATTACTTTGGCCGGGATAATCTTCCATATCGCCCCACGCCTGTTTGACCTGAGTGGAATTTAACCTTAATTGGCAACATCTGTGTTTACCCTACTGCTTCATGTCAGAACAGCTGCTGTGAAAAAGGTCCACTGACTCCAGCTCTCCTGTAACTGTAACATTAAAGTGGCCACAGCACAGGGTGAGAAATACAAGGCAACACTGGTTAGTTTCAGGGTATTTGGGGTCTTTTTTTAAATCAATATCAAGGTGTTTCCATGACTGGAAAACTAGATTTTCCAGGTGTTTTCCAGGTGTT